AGGGACATACTGCTCAAGGATCTTACACAGAAACAATGCCGGCAACTGAAACGGAAACAGTGATGACATCAGAAATGTTAACTGAAGCGAGTACAGAATCGGTAACGGGCACTGCAACCGAAGGGCCTACTGCTGAAGCGTCTTCTACAGAAACAATGCCTGCAACTGAAACGGAAACGATGATAACATCGGAAATGCCGACTGAATCGAGTACAGAATCGCTCACCGTCACTTTGACGGAAGGACCTACTGCTGAAGCGTCTTCGACAGAAACAATGCCTGCAACTGAGATCCAAACAACGATGACATCAGAAATGCTAACTGAATCGAGTACAGAAGCGGTAACGGGCACTGCAACCGAAGAACCTACTGCTCAAGCATCTTCTACAGAAACAATGCCTGCATCTGAAACGGAAACAATGATGACATCAGAAATGTTAACTGAATCGGTAACGGGCACTGCAACCGAACGACCTACTGCTGAAGCGTCTTCTACAGAAACAATGCCTGCAACTGAAACGGAAACGATGATAACATCGGAAATGCCGACTGAATCCAGTACAGAATCGCTCACCGTCACTGTCACCGAAGGACCTACCGCTCAAGGCTCTTCCACAGAAACAATGCCTGCAACTGAGACGGAAACAATGATGACATCAGAAATGTTTACTGAATCGAGTACAGAATCGGTAACGGGCACTGCAACCGAAGGACCTACTGCTGAAGCGTCTTCTACAGAAACAATGCCTGCAACTGAAACGGAAACAATGATGACATCTGAAATGCCAAGTGAATCGAGCACTGAATACCAAACGGTCACTGTAACCGAAGGGTCAACCAGTGGAGTATCTTCAACAGAAACTGTTCCTGCAACTGAAACCGAAACTGGAATCACAAGTGAAATGCTAACTCAATCAACGACTGAATCAATAATCGTCACCGTCACCGAAGGGCCTACCGGTGGAATATCTTCAACAGAAACAATTCCTGCAACCGAAACAGAAACCGCAATGCCATCTGTAATATCAACCGAATCGAGTACTGAATCGCTAACCGTCACCATCACCGAAGGACCTACTGCTGAACCTTCTTCTACAGAAACTATTCCTGCCACCGAAACCGAAACTATGATAACGTCGGAAATGGCAACTGAATCGACTACTGAATTACAGACGGTCACTGTAACCGAAGGATCTACTGGTCAACCTTCTTCTATAGAAACAAGCTCTGTAACTGAAACAGGAACAGCAGTGACATCCGAAATGTCAACCGAATCGAGTACGGAATCACTAACCGTCAGCATCATCGAAGGACCTAGTTCTGAACCTTCTTCTACGGAAACAAGCTCTGTAACCGAAACAGAAACTGCAATGACATCTGAAATGACAACGGAATCTACTACTGAATCACAAACCGTCACTGTAACAGAAGGATCTACTGGTCAACCTTCTTCTACAGAAACAAGCTCTGTAACTGAAACAGGAACAGCAGTGACATCCGAAATGCCAACCGAATCGAGTACGGAATCACTAACTGTCACCGCAACCGAAGGATCTACTTCTCAAGTTGTGTCTACGGAAACTATTCCTGTCACCGAAACTATAACGACATCCGAAATGTCAACCGAATCGAGTACTGAATCACTAACCGTTACCGCAACCGAAGGACCTGCTTCTCAAATTTCTTCTACAGAAACTATTCCTGCTACCGAAACCGAAACTATGCTGACATCTGAAATGCCAACTGAATCAACTGCTGAATCACAAACGGTCTCTTTAACCGAAGGGTCTACTGGCCAACCTTCATCTACAGAAACAAGCTCTGTAACTGTAATAGAAACTATGATGACATCCGAAATGTCAACCGAATCGAGTACTGAATCAGCAACCGTTACTACAGCCGAAGGATCTACTTCTGAACCTTCTTCTACAGTTACAAGTCCTGCAACCGAAACCGAAACTGGAATCACATCTGAACTGACAACTGAATCGACTGCTGAATTACAAACTATTACTGTAACTGCAGGATCTACTGGCCAGCCTTCTTCTACAGAAACAAGTTCTGCAAGTGAAACAGAAACTATGATGACATCTGAAATGTCAAGCGAATCAACTACTGAAGCACTAACCATTTCCGTAACCGAAGGATCCACTGTTCAAATATCTTCGACAGAAACTCTTGCTGGAACGGGAACACAAACGGAAACAACATCTGAAATTGTAACTGAATCCGGTACTGAGCCACAAACGGCCACCATGATCGAAGGATCTACTAACCAGGTGTCTTTCACAGTAGCAAGTGCTGCAACGGTAACCGAAACTATGATTACATCTGAAAGTGCGACTCAATCGACTACGGAAACAGTAACGGTCACTGTAGCCGAAGGATCTAGTACTCAAGTCTCTTCCACAGAAACAGTTCCGGCTACTGGAACGGAAACTACAACCACATTTGAAAGGCCAACTGAGTCGACAACTGAGTCACAGACGGTACCGATTAGTGAAGGTTTTACCAGTCAAATATATTCAGTAGAATCAAGCCAGCAACAATCAACAGTGACGGAAACAGGTTAGAAGTTTCGTATTGATAAATATTGAAATTTGCCTAGTGATTGGTTTGGCACATGTTCTGAAGATTTGATGTGGAACGTTTTTTCTCATAAATAACTGTGTTTTTCATTTACAGAAGCGGTCAGTGCAACAGAGACATCGACGACGTTGGCATTATCTGAAAGCGTTACCTCAACATCATCGGCAACTGAAACCGTTTCAAGTGGTTCAGGAAATGCTACTGAAGTATCTTCAGTTGAAACTATGGCTGTTTCTATTGCAAACGCTTCAGAAATGACCACTCAAGTGCCCACTGAAACGGAGACGACAGCTGTTGTTTCTGAGACAAGTAATGTTTTCTACGATAAACTAATGAAATGAATATTCTTTCAGAAAGGATTGAATATCACTAATTGGTTTTTTTCCATGTTGAAATTTTTTCAAACGTTGGAGCGTAATGATAAATGCTTTTTGTTTTCTTTAGCACGTGTTTCCGAAACGGCATTCAATGCAAGTCTAACTACAAGTACCGAAGGAATGCAGACGACGGCCATGTCTGAATCGGGATCGACATTAACTACAGAATCATCAACTGCATATTCGTCAAGCACAGTCAATCAATCGTTAATGGAGACTTCACAATTCATGATAGAATCGACTACTCTAACTGTTCAAAATATTACCGAAATCACGTCATCGATGGATACTGCTGAAACCACTGGAATGTACACAGTATCTGAATCTGAGATTACTTCATCATCATCAACTTTATCTACGATCACTATTACTGAGACTAGCAGATCGACTACTGTTTCGAATGAGCTAGTAACTGAAGCTGTTTCTACATCCGAGTCAAGTTCACCATCATCAACTATATCAAGCTCTGAAAGTTCTAGTCAAACCTTGGAAAGCACTGAAAGAACAAGTTCAGCCACGGTAACTGAATCTGAAATGTCATCAACGGCAACAGCAACCGAAACTAGCACTGCCGGTCAATCATCATTATCAGCCACTTCTTCTGTTAGTATAGGCAATGAAACGTCATTCGCTACAGTAGCCGAAAGTAGTACTTCTACTCAATCTACAATTACAACAAGTTCCACTGAAATAACAACTCAAAGTCCCCAAAATATTACATTATTTTATCTTTATTTTAACTATAAATCTGACGGTGCACGGGTACGTCGAGCGTTTGATATTAGCTCTCCATCATCATCTACTATCGAAAATGAAGTATAATAATGAATTTATAATAATTATATACTGATATTTATACGGTTAATATTTTATTTTTAGGTAGCTAAAATTTTGTATGGACTCAATATAACTTGTAATGATACATGTATACAAGTGAGCCAAACTAGGTAAATTTTCTTTTATTGAAAAACAAAATCTTTATGATTGCTGTGTCGTTAAATGTTGCAGTGTATCACCTCCTGATGTCGAATACTTGGTTAAGTTAAATGTATCACTCGATATTTCTCAACGTATAGAACTTGTGAATGGTTTTTTTATGAATAATGTTAGTTTAAATGATAGTTATCGCTTGACTGTAAGAATAATTGTGAATCAAGCCAGCACAGATTTTTGTAAGTACCCTTCTTCAAAAATCATAAAAAGTCATTAAATGTAACCTTTTCTTTTTTTATAGTAAATTTCACAGAAATCACACTAGCGTGTAAAGAATGTGAATATGCTTCCACAGGAAATTGTAGTAGCGACAATATTACATGTGTATGCTACCCAAATTATGAGGGACAATACTGTCGAAATCTTATTCAGTCTACTTCAATTTATTTGCCGACGTCCATCACTACTTCAACATTATCAAGCATTTCCACAACACAGAGGCAGACTATTGGAACAACAACAATATCAGCTGCGACCGTAGAAATGGCAGGCTCAACTTTGTCGATCGCTACGAGCGCAACATCAGCAACAGAAACATATGAAAATACCACGTTTACCATGACTACAGAAACTACTACACCAATGACAGTCTCCGGCACGATGAGTACTGTAACAATTACACAAATGACAGAAGCTACATCTTTAACAGCGGTCACAGTAACTCAAGTTACTGGCTCAACTGCGATAGAAACTACTAGCACAAGAATCACACCAGCAACCTCCATAACATCAGCAATAGAAACAGCCGAAAGTACATCATCGACACAAACACCATCTACACAAAGTTTAACATCTTCTCCTATGACCTTATCAACAGCAGAAACACAAACAGGTCAAAGTACAACAACTACCATTTCAAGTAGTTCAACTACAACTCTCAGCTCTGCTCAAACAGGAACTGTTGAAGTGACAACAGCACCAACAGTAGGCACAGGTACAACTATTTCAACATCTGCGCCAATAACTGTATCAACAGTACAAACA